ACCCCGGCCTCCCCCCCCACGCCTCGGACCCCCAACTGGCTCGTGTCCCCCCCACCGCCGCCGCCGCCACCGCTGGCCCCACGCCTGCCCCCCAACAGCAGCCTCGCTCCCCCCAACGGGAACCCCAGCGCGTCTCCCACGAGCAGTTCCGGGCGGCCCTGCAGATGGTGGTGGACCCCGGGGACCCCCGCACCTACCTGGAGAACTTCATCAAGATCGGGGAGGGCTCCACCGGCGTGGTCTGCATCGCCACCATCCGCAGCAGCGGGAAGCTGGTGGCCGTCAAGAAGATGGACCTGCGCAAGCAACAGCGGCGGGAGCTGCTCTTTAACGAGGTGGGGCGAAGCACCCCTTTTTGGGGGGTGGGTGGGGTGGTGGTCACAACATCCCAGAAGGATACAGGACCTCTGGAGATCATCCAGAGCAGGGATGAGGGGGGGGTTGGTGGCTGATACCTTTCTCTCCCCACCCTCGCAGGCGGAGCACCGGCCGGGACGCCCCCAGGAGGTGGCCACCAACGGGCCAGTGACCAGCAGCAGCGGGGGGGCCGGTTCCTCCCGAGCCCCCCCCACGGGCCATGATTCATCCAGGAGGATGGAGACCCCACCACCTTCTTCTGGGCGGCCTCTTCCAGGGCTCTGGGACCCTCAAAGGGAAGAAGTTCCTCCTCAAAGCGTTGAGATGGAGCTTCACCACCTTCATGTTTGTGCCCCTTGTCCCTGGTCCCCTCCTCCTGATGCCCACCGTGGATCAGATCCACCCCGCTTCGGGCTTCGCCTCTCCAGGCTAACCAGCCCCCAGGTCCCTCATCAGAGGGATGTTCTGGTCCCCTCAGCATCTTGGTACCCTTTGCTGGACCTTCTCCAGCAGTTCCCAGTCCTCCTGGAACCGGAGGTCCCAGAACTGGTCCCAGTTCTCCAGCTGTGGCTAAGCAGAGGAGGGGGATGAACTTCCCTGGACCTGTTGACCACTCTCTTCTTGATGCACCCCAGGAAGCCATTGGCCTTCTTGGCCACCAGGGCATGTTGCTGGCTCATGGGCAACTTCACCATGGTCAACATGACCATGGCCAACAAAATCACGAGCTCCCTGGACCTGCTGACCGGCCCAGGAGACCATTGGCCTTCTTGGCCACGTTGCTGACTCCTGGTTGAGCCTTGCTGAAGTCAAGGTAGCCACCCCTAGTTTTTTTGGGGGGGCTCCTAACAGCCGTGTCCCTCCCCAGGTGGTGATCATGAGAGACTACCAGCACGAGAATGTGGTGGAGATGTACAACAGCTACTTGGTGGGCGACGAGCTCTGGGTGGTGATGGAGTTCCTGGAGGGGGGCGCCTTGACCGACATCGTCACCCACACCAGGTATGTGTGTGTCCCCCCCACCTCCCCTTGTCACCCCAACACCCCGGGGACCCCAGTTTATGGTTCCTCCCCCCAACCTTCTCCACACCACCACCACCACCACCGGCAGGATGAACGAGGAGCAGATCGCTGCCGTCTGCTCAGCCGTGCTGAAGGCCCTCTCCGTCCTCCACGCCCAGGGCGTCATCCACCGCGACATCAAGAGCGACTCCATCCTCCTCACCCACGACGGCAGGGTGAGGGTCACCCCCGGGGTTCGGGGGGGGTGTCCAAGGGGCCTTCCTGCCCCTCCCCGTGTCCCCACCCCCATCCCTTCTCACCCCCTCCTCTCCCCTGTAGGTGAAACTCTCCGATTTTGGGTTCTGTGCCCAAGTCAACAAGGAGGTGCCGCGCAGGAAGTCGCTGGTGGGGACCCCCTATTGGATGGCGCCGGAGCTCATCTCCCGCCTGCCCTACGGCCCCGAGGTG